TTTAAATTCTGATTAAGGTTGTCAGTGCCTACGACTGATGATTGATTCCCTTACTTCTATGTACCATCGATTGTTTACTCTTTGATTTCTTATGATTTTACAAGTTAATTAAGAGTTAATGAATAAAATAACCCCGGTGTTTCATGTTTACGTAGATCAACTCATAAACTATCTAACTAATTCAAAATCTAACGCCATTATTTAAGTCTTAGGTTAAATACATTTTTTAAAAAGAAATTTGACGTTGAATTTTGAACATTCGTAGCGATGACAACTCGGGTACTATCATTCATTTTTGTTCATGAATGCACTGAATGAATCCGTGAAACATACAGGTGAAGAGGTTTGATATCGTTTAGTAACGTTTTATTAATGAAAAGTTAGATACAAGTTTGTGAAACTATGCACAACACTAAGTTCACTGTATTTCATACTAAGTTATCGGACGCTATGTAAGTTGAAGCAACAAACTTAATCATTTTTTTAAAAACATTTTCACTCACTAGTGAACAATGACTAGTACAGAGCATGATATTATTAAACCTTAAAAAAATAATTTTGAAGAATCAACTTTCCTATTGAATTCATATTATCTTAGCAGTGAAATATTTTGTCTTGACATTGAATATTGATAACTTTTAAAAGTGATTGATGATTTTGAGAGATTGCTGTTGTTAAGTTTAAATGATCAAATGTTTATCTGTTTGTAAATCATTTAAAAAAATCACATCAAATCTCAGCTTGATATCAATGCTACTGAGGTTAATTTTTGTTTTAAACTTTCGTTTTTATTTTGAAATATTTGACGCGCTCAAATCAGCATGGCAGTAACCAACTAAACGATGATCTATCTTATAACGTTCTTACAAAAACTGGTTATTTTACTCAAATGAATTACAAAACACGTTAAAAATTACATCTGCTTATTTATTTCTGCTACTATTATGAAATCAGCCACTAAAATTACTTACTAGTAGATAAGACGTTGAAATGTTAACTTTTCAACGTGTAATCACACACTGAGTTCCAAGTCTATTCATTCATTTTTCTTTTAGATTCAACTACTTTACTAACGTTAATGTCGAAAATGGAAAAATTTTCCCAACTATCTGTTTATTTCTCTAACCTTAAATACAATTTGCAAATCTCTTCTTTTTTCTCTAGTGACACAATTTTGCATCGAATTCTCTGCGTCAGTTCGCATTATCCTATCAGTTTATGTATTATTATTATTATTATTGTAAGAGTGAAAAAAAGGTACACTGATTCGTTATACCAGTTAACGCTTTTTGACAAGTCGCGGTTTACATTAAATCAAACAGTTACAGTTATTATATATATATATATATATATATATATATATATATATATATATATGTAAATGTCTGTGAATAAGTGTTACTTTAAACCTTTTTTTCATATCTCTTCATATCTATTACGCTTATTTATTTATTTACAAAATTACTAAAAAAATCACTACTTAACCAGAATAGTCTTCACAAATTCAAATCATTCTTCTAGTATTTTTTCCCTACTAATATCATTACTTTTGTTTTTGGTTAGTAAGACAGAAGTGAAAATTTTGTGACATTTTCTATTTTGTTAGTTGAATTATATAACCAGTTTACAAACTAATATTTAAAATTGCATTCCGTTTAGTTCGTTAAATTTTCGTTAAACTAAAGTTATTTGTCAGGTGAGTGAAATAATATTAAACCTTTACCAAATAACTGGTCAAGCTAAACGTATCCCTTCCTTAGATGGCTGATCGCTCGACAGTGAATCATTTATCTAAGAATCAAGATGGTCTGGCCTCAGCGTGGTTCAAAACAGATTCAGCAGAGTAAAGTTGATGTAGGCTTACATTGGTCAGAGAATCAAAACATTCCAATTACCTAAATCAGTCAAAACTGTTTAGTCGAACGACACTAGTACTAGTATTCAAATTATAATTATGCATCATTGTTGGGTATGCTAGATCCCCAGAACTCGCTTGATAAATATCTTCATTTTGGATTTATTTCATGCACCGATCAGTTGACCTTGAGATCACATTTCCCAACAGGAAAATCCTTGGCTGTGGTTGGTTACTATATCATTTTAGTGTGTTATTTTTGTGACTGTCCCAAGGACATCTTTATAGAGTATAAATAAACGCAATTTGAGTGCTTGGATTAATAGTTCGCTGGTTGGGTGTTTGTAGAATACACTTTCTACGCTATGTCAAGACTTCTTGCTGATACAATTTTGTCGAGGAATCACAGTAGCCTACCTGTACTCTGGTTGATTGTTTTGTTCTCGTTATTCGACTAAGGTGAACCCGTAACAGTTTTAAGCATACCTGGAGACGAGAGTAGCAACCACATGAATGTTTTTCGGATGTACGAAATCCAGATTAAACAGCTGCCCGATACGTTCAGGTTGTCAATTACTTTGCTATTATATTTATTTTTGACAAAAGATGTTTTCAATACGATATTTCTTCTAGCAAACTAGCGAATTGAATACCATTTCATTTGGGAAATATTTTTCGTATTGTATATATATATGGTTATCTTGAAATAGTCTGCACAGGATACAAATATCCCAACATCGGCTGATCAGCATTCAGTAAAAAGTCAACATCAAGAGTATTAGTTTATATGCTGACCATAATCTGAACATCATATAGGATGAGGAAGTTAGTAGCTGCGTAAGCTCAGTAATTATTCAGTGGATAACGTTAGTGGTGTTTAAATCAAAAGGTAATGAGCTCAATTCTTATTGAAAAAAGCACATGAAACTAACGAGTCCTAAGTAGAACGAAATTCATTTCGTGGAATTCAGTTCTAGCTAAAATTTCTCTGTTCTACAAATGAGAACATAATTTCTACTTAAATACAACTGAAACATTACTAAAAACCCATTTTTAATTTAGTTAATTTTTTTCTGTCCACAATAAAAATTAAGTTAAAGGGAAATTTATTTTTATTATAATATCAAAATCAACATTTATCATAAGTTTTCACGTAATCAACAAGAAACCATTGAATGTTAACATCTATCTAACCCATGAGAATATGCCAACATCAATCTTATGTATAATTTCTCAAGGGAATAAATAATCCCAATCAATGCATTAGTATAGAAAAATACCTGACAGAGATTTCATCGAAAGAAATTCCATCTGATTATATATAACCTGTTCCTTTTAGTCGATTAATCATTTACGCTAGAAATAATTGTGTTTCGTGATTGTATTCTTGTTTTAATTTTCTCTTACTTTTCCTTTACTCATATTTCTTGATTGAAATCTTAAAAAACTAAATTTATATGTTACATGTTCAATGCGGATGTAGGTAGATATTTTTGGCTTGAACTGATGTGTTTGATGTGTAGATGAATAATTTAAAATCAAAATTTTTTTTAAAAAAAAACACAACAGCTACACCACTGCTTCTAGTATGTGAATTCCACACGATTAATTTACATATATAAAGGCTTTAATGTGATCAATTCAATTTAAGAATGTCTATTTATCTTTTAAAAATATTGAATTGACATAGAAAATAAAGAGGTTTGCTAAAGAGGGCTACTACTACTACTAAGAGAAATGTCAATATAAACTATGGAGCTTCGTACAAACAGTCTAAGTCACTGGAGCCTTATTACGTTATTTCCATTTAATAAATATTAAATTGATTAGAATTCAACGGTTTGCTGGTTCTTTGTTGAGTTGAGGAGGTATTACAATATTTTTCACGAAATTCAAATTAATGTAGGAATTTAATCAGTAGCAACAATCTTCATTCTACGCTAACAATAAAGCTGTAGAAAATGAGTGAGTGACTGAGTGGTTGTTCTGTTTCAGTTTGAAATGTCACAGAATCATAAAACCAATAAAACAACCACTGAAAATAAGTTAATAAATAGTTTGTTGAATTTAGTTGTAAACTGTTTATACAATAATCAAATTAATAATATTTAGAAGACAGCATAATTTTTTTGAATATTTAGAAAACAATCAATCCAAGCACTCAAATTGTGTTTATTTATACTCTATAGAGATGTCCTTGGGACAGTCACAAAAATAACACACTAAAATGATATAGCAACTAACCACAGCCAAGGATTTTCCTGATGGGAAATGTGACCTCAAAGTCAACTGATCGGTCCATGAAATAAATGCAAAATGAAGATATTTATCAAGCGAGTTCTGGGGATCTAACATCCCAAGCAGTGATTGATTGAAAGAGAATGATTCATCGTAGCTAAGCGTTCTCGTCTTATTTACGTATTTATTTAAGTACTGAAAAAAAGTTCTCCCCAATCTACATATATTACTTACCTGATTAAATGATATTAGAATGAAATATGTTCTATCCAGAAGACAATTAAAAATCATGCTGAAGCTTCATTAGTTTTAACAACATACAAAGATACAATTTTATGAATGCCAACTCTTAGTGATAAATTTAATCGCTAATAAAATCAAGGTAAGTAAATTGTTTAGTTTTATATTCCAACACCTGATTGTTAACTACTTTGAAATAGTGTTTGACATATCGGCGAAAAAAGATAGATGTGATTTTGAATTTTGAATACAATTATGTTTCATGCATTTGTATGTAGTTGGTAACTTGCTGTTAGTTTACCTTTTCTGTATTCTGTCTAGTCAAGAAATATCCTTAAGGTTTCGTTACGTCTATTAATGAATGAAATTCATTTCGAAGACATAAACTAGCTAGATCAATAACACATGAGTATTACTAATTAGAGTTTATAAAAACATAAGTACTCGTTGAATAATTTAGCGGATTACATAACACTATCACCCTATGAATAATGCATTTTTGTTTGAAATTCAAACTACTTAGTTCAGCTCTGATTATATTGAGATACAAGTGCATTGATATTCAAACAAGGAAAAGGAATTTTCATTGAAATCAACCAAGTGTTAACATTAAACTAATAATAATAATAACAATAATAGTAATATTAATAGTAATAATATGACTTACCGAAAATTACTAAACCATTTAACTAATTGAGCTGTATTATTTTTATAGAATTTCACATCAGGAAAATACATTTTAATTAATGTTGAATTCGGATATCGTGTATAGAAAAACATTAATTTCGCTTTGCGTAAATGTACTGGTGTTAAGGTTGTTGTCTGTAAATGATTTGGATAAATGCAAAAGAAAGGAAGGGATGAATAAATATTTAAAAATAAATTTAAAAAAAGAAATAATTTTTTCTCAAATAGAAGAGATAAGTGCCCTGATTTTCATAAACTGACTTTACTGTAAAATGAAATCTAGGTATATATATATTCTTTGCTTCTCTTCAGTGAACCCTAAGTCAACAGATAACCCTCGAGTCACATGGAACCCTCAAGGCGAAAGGAAAAGAGGAAGGCCAAGGAACACACTACACTGAGAAATAGAGAAAGATATGAGAGGAATGAACAAACATTGGACAGAACTGGAGAGGGAAGCCCAGGACAGAGTAGGTTGGGCGGCCTATGCTCCATTGGGGGTAACAGGCGTAAGTTAGTAAGTGTATCTTAGATTCTATTGATTTATTGTGCAGAACGGTAATGATTTTAAAAGTATCAAACAAGTTGATTTTTATATAATTGGCTAAATCAATCAGATTATTATTCATTGAAATTTTAACTGGCTTGCAATTATTATGTTAAGTTAAGACACAGTCCTCAGAAACACAAAGCTACCTGAACTTCATCGACCTAATTAGTCTGACATTTTTTCTAGCCTTATTTTTTACATGCCATCAATTTGTTTAATCGTCCGAAAAGAATAGATTAAAACTTTTTTTTACAAAAAAATAAAATCTTAGTCATAAATATCACGAATAAAGTAATTTCATAATCTGCTCATTGGGAAAACATTTTTAAAATTAGTTAGGCATTAAATTGTACTGTTGAAAAATTGAACCCTACGAAGAAACGAAACAACATCGTTGTTGTCTTTAAAGTAATTTATATAAATTCTTTTCTACTTCATACAAAATTCGGTTTATCACTAAAATTCTCCTAATAATAATAGTAATAATATTCTAGTATGACTATTCATAAGTAGTACTGTTCAATAATTATAAAAAAACTTATTATTTATTGTAATCTGACATATTCTAAGATGAAAGAAAGCGTAATTTATTCACAAATAAGCAATATTCTTTATTCTTTTCAAAATTCGCACTATCCTAAGTCGTGTGTATGATTACAAAGATTAAATTTTTCAACATACAGACCGACTGAAGCATAATACTCAACAAACAAAATGCATCAAAAGGTCCGCATAATGAATGTTATACACTGAAACACACAAACACACACACACAACAAACAAAAACGAAGGAAAAACAACAACAACAAAGTGTATAGTAATAATAAATTTTGTTCTCAAAAAAGAAAAAAAAAGAAAATTGCAAGTAAAAGAAACAAATGAAAATCGCCTCCAAAAAGATGTGCCAACTACTAAAACTACTCTAACTAGAAAGTCATTCTAGTTAAGAGAAATCATCTACCTTGTTTTTTCGAATAGAAAATAAATAAATAACTAAAAAGAAGAAGAAGAAGAAATGAAACACTAGCGCTGCTTTATGCACAACGATAAACCTAGAAGGAAGTGTGTGTATATTCTTAGACAAAGTTGTTTAACAGGAAAACAAATGATAGTCTATTATAAATATATTTATATATATATATATATGTATATATAGGTAGAAATATATATTTATATGTGTGATCGAAATGATGCTTGTGGAGAAAAATAGAAACGGAAATGTTGAAAAATGAAAGAAGTAACCTTTTTCGCTTCTGTTATTTATTATTGACTTTATTGACTATCGACTTTCGTCTTCAGTCATACAGACAAAACCTATTCACACAACATACACAAATAGACACAGTATGCATACTTTACTAACAAACGCGCACACAGACACACATCAAACGATGAGTGCCTGTGTTGAACAGAGCAGGTAGGCAAGAGAAAAAAAAAATAAAGAGGTATGTTTAAGTGTATATGCATTATAGTTTGAATAGACCATATTGTTGTTGCAAACACACTGGTAGTAGTAGTGGTTAGAATTGTGATAGCGATGTTGTTGTTGTTGTTGTTGATGATGATGATGCTGACAAAGAAGTGAAAAAAAAATACATAATGATTCTATGAATTGTCTTCATTTCCCGTTCTTCAATTTTTTTTTTGTTTCCCATCTTCCAAATAAAACTCAAGACAAACGTGAATGAATTCTAATAATGTTCAAGGAAGGAGTACAAATATAAAAGAAACTAGTTTCTTTATCGAATGAGTATGATTTTTATTATTATGATTATTATTTTTCACAATTATTAAAACAAAAAAAACAACAACTATTATAATAACAACAACAATGAATAGTATTTTCTGTCTTCTCTTTTTCATTTCGTTTACATTCGTCACTATTCGATAAATTGACTAGTAAAAATATTAAAAAAGCTTTGTAGAATATAATTTACAGAGAAGGAGTGAATGTAAAGAAAGACACTTTATTTACTCCGGAAATGTAATGCCAACTTGAAAAAAAGAAAAAAAAAGTAGAAATGAAAATTAGGGTAAAAGAATAAGAATTTTAAAAAAGGAGCTGGCAATACATTTATTTGATGAGGTGTTCGAAGAATGAAATATGATTTTTCGTAGATTTTGTATAATCTTAATGTGTGTGTTTTTTCCCTCTTTTTCATTGACTCGTTGGCTTTCTCTATCTATCTATCTATCTATCTATCTATCTATCTATCTATCTATCTATCTATCTATCTATCTATCTATCTATCTATCTATCTATCTATCTATCTATCTATCTATCTATCTATCTATCTATCTATTGGGAGAAGAAAACGTTGTTTAAAATGAAATAAAAGATTTTAGCCAGAATCTTGATAAAGTTCAACATTGGAATGCAGGTGTATTCACTTGACGAGTTCTAGAAAGAACGGAATATTCGCTGTGATTTCTTCAATTGATCACAGTATGAAATACATTAAAATGTTAATATTTGTTTTAAATGGATGAAGCAGACATCAAACAGCAATTTCAAAACATCAGACAATCAGTTATAGTTTGGTATCACTAAAGTAAAATACACAAATAGACCTGTATTTACAACAACTGTTGATGCATTTCAACAGAAACTCATAAAGTTTTGTACTCAGATTTGTGATTGAGGACCAGATGTCATAAAGGGATGGATGATATGGATGAAAGACAGATAAAACTAGAAACCATTTTCGTTTCCTTGACGCGAAACCATACTTACAACAGGTTTTCATATTTGTACATAAATTCTAATAAGTGAACTTTTAACATGATAGAGGAAAGTTTTGAAGATTTATTAGAGAGACAGAAACAAATAAATATTCCTTCTAATAGAGCTTGAGAAAACTATTATGTAGATGAAAATGATTTGTTTATGATGTGACTGATATTACATTTAAATTCCAGTATATTGAGAAAACGGAATAATTTAGTTATAATAAACATTCAAAGATTTGATTCACATCAACATTGAACGAACTACAATTTAATTGGAGATGTTTAAAGAAAATTCCACATTTTTTTTCCTAAAGCATAACAGATTAATAATGTAGTCAACTTGATGAATTTTATTTTTCACTTTACTGATTACAATGAAGTTTTCTATTTTCTTACTTTCAAATCATAATGTTTTTTCATCAAAAGATAATTAGTGGCATTTTGTCAGAGCCGATTACTCTGTCAATCAGTAAGTAACTCTGAAGCCAACTAAGAGTAATACTAATAATCGAAATTTCGACAGAAGATATTTATTAAATAAATCAGTAGTATTTAACACGGAATTGTTAAGGTGTTTCTCTGTCATCATATTTTCACAAGTGAAACATGATCTAACCAGTCATACTACACTAAAACTTAACCTGATAGCAATATTTTGAACAATATGTTTATTTATTTACAGAAGTAGCAAGTTGTAACAATCGTGATACATGATACGCATGATCTTCATATCATTAGCTAAGTATTAAGAAAAGTTTTTGGCGTTTAGCTATACCCCCATATACTCTGTTACTTCCAAGAGTGGGGGGAATCCACTATCTCTCTCTAAGAATACTCTCATATGGCCGTGAGTATGTAGATACTGTCAAGGAAGTCCTATTCACTGTCTTCTCGCAGCCATGTTGTTTTTTAATAAGTCGAGATGATGAAAAGCGAAAGTCCGTAGCTTTAACTGAGTTGATATAGACGAGTCACCCAATGGTCGCTGAAAACCCTCACTCCAAAGCAGTAATGCACATGGTCTATAGGAAATCGGCAGAACAAATCGTGTATGAACGCACTGTTAGTCACAGGCTACCATGGGACTACATCTCCTTACTTTGACCTCCTGCCTTGTGGATCAAACTCCTGCGTCAAAAGTTCAAACTGCAAGAAACCACCTGCATTCCAGCCCATGCATAAATTCAGTAACTTGTGTGCCTCTTCGTACCAAATTTTATATGTTTACATAAACATGAATTAATAAATGCCAGATTCTGTAGATAATTAGACTCCGGAGAAAACTACTTTCAAGGATTCTTACAGTTATAGAAATAAATGCGAATGAAAAACTTTCAACAAATAAATCCAGAATTAATAAACATTTTCATTACATTCAAAAAACAAACAAACAACAACAAATTTACCATTCGTAGTTCATGTGAATAATTAATTAGTTGATTTTGATATGATTCCGATAATGCCATACCACTGGTTGATTCATGATTAAAATTATCATTCAATAATAATGATTTATCAAGTTTGATGTTTAATAAATTGTCACTTGTATTATTCAGCTTATCATATAATTTGTTTATATAATTCAAATGACTACGATGTTGATTCTTATTCAAATTGGGAAAATTTTGTTGTTGACGATGTTGTTTATTTTGTAAATTAGAAAATGTTATGATATTATCAATATTATGGTCCAGATTATTGTTGTTATTGTTAGCAATAGTACTGACACTGTTACAATCGATACTTTCATTGACTGATGTTAAAGATTGCGATAATGGAAATAGAGGTGATTTTAGAGACGACAGTGAATATGGAGTAGGAGATTTGCACAGGAGAGCATTAGATGCAGAAGAATGATGTGGAAAAGCGTTATAAAGATTATTCTGTGCTCCAAAACAGTTTGAAAGTGATTGTCGTGGTCTTTCTTGTCCATCATCCTGGATGCTTGTATTATCATAAAGATTACCAGCGGAAAATTTATTTGTATTGTTGGTATTATTATTATTATTATTATTATTACTAGTACTATTACTATTAATAAGATTTAAATTATTGTTAAGCATATCTTCTGTTGGATTGAAAAATATTGGAGGAATAGGTGGCAGTGAGTTAGGTAGGCGAGGATTTAATAGACAGATTTGATTAAATTTTGACGAATATCTACGCTCATTGATATCTGAACAAACTGATGAACAGGCAGAAGTAATAGATGCAGAAGCAGTAGAAGATGGATTAGGGAATGGAGGTGTGACAGACAATGATGTTGAAGTACTCACTGTCAACGATGTGTTTATATCTTTGGGGAAAGATGGAGAGTAAGTGGATGATGTAGGAGAGGAAACAGTGCTCATAACTGTAGGTAATGCACCAAAGTTATTAAGTAAATTTGATTTTAGCGATAATGGATAATTTCTGAATGTTTTTGTAAACATTTTTTCAAATGATTTATATTCCTGAATTATATCCAAACAATGTAACTTTTCATCCGCTCCGTTTAGCTGACCATCGATATTCTTGGCTGATTCTGAAGATTCTACATTTCCGTGGCAGTTTCCTTTGAGATTATCTGAGGTATGGTCAATCAACTCTTTTGAATTGCCTGAAAGGCGCAATGAAATCGGTGATGGACTGCTGTTGTTACTGCCACTACTGTGAATTTGATTTTCCGATCGATACTTGGTGGAATGAAAATCATCTAATTTTATATTACCCATATTGTTGAGATTACTACTACTAGTAGTAGTACTAGTAGAAGTGAGAGTATTGCGATATTTAGCAGGATTTATACTCGATAAAAGACTAGGATTTACGAGTAAGGATTCTTTGTCATCTGTTCGCAATTGATTTCCAGTCAACCCAAAAGTTGTGGAAGTTGGTGAGACCAAATTTAATGCCTGTTCAAAATCAATAATTCCTGACGTCGACTGAAGAAGTGATTGTTGCTGCGATATCGATTGATTATGATGGTGATGTTTGATAGAATTCGACATTATGCCATTAGAAAATGTTGTATTGTTTGGATAACGTGAAACACGTGGATGAGTTAAACGTGTATCAGTAACTTTAGTGCGCCTTCTACGACTCATAGTTGGTCCATGGAATAAATTACTCCCATTTGTTGTTATGGGCGTTGTTGTTGTAACAGTTGTACCAGTTGTTAAATTTTCCGAACAAATATTATACATTGTACTGCTATTATTCACAACTGAACTGGATTTATTTGCCTTTCTGTCATGTCTTACAACCAAAGGTATAGCTTCGATCTGTTCATCCGAAGGTATTACTTGTGGTAATAAAGAGGTTGTATTGTTAAACATCATTATGCTGCTTTGTTTATTCTCTTCATTAAGCATAAATTTTGAATCCAGACAGGAATTCAATGTTGACTCGGTGTTTACTTTATTCAGTTGCTTAATAATATTCATAGTATTATTGACTAATGAACTGGATTGGAGAAGTGTATTCTGATCAGAACATTTTGATGTGCAAGGTGAATTGGGAAATTTCCATGGCCAATGATAAAATGGATTTGGTAGTAATCCATAAGTATCTTGCAGATCAGTTAATGTTTTCGGTGGCCAACCGAATGGAATTGGAAATCTTAACACATTAGCTAGAGCAGTAGCAGCAGCTGCTGCTGTTACAGCATTACACGGTGAAGATGTTGAAGTGGTAGTACTGGTCAGTATAAATGGGTTAGCAATTTCAGTTGAATTAATATCAGCTGATTGAATAGAATGAATATAATCAGTTGGTTGGATGGACGATGGAGGTGAATTATTCTGTAAAATGGAAATCAAGACATAATGAACTAAACAAATAATTTAATTTTGACCAAAGAAACTTCTGAACAATTCGATGATGAGTTTTGAACCAGTTTGTTTGAAATTATAAACGCAATGACTGACAGCGACGTTTTTATTACTATATATTTATCCTTTTTGAAATCGATAGAGATAGTCTACTCTTTAAGTAGTTCATACTTTGAAACTTTAATCAAATTTCAAACTAGGAAGCATTCAATATATTTTCAGTTAGAGCTTTTGAGATTTGTGTCTTTACACATTTGAAATGATCAATCAATCATTGTTAGACCACCATTAGAAATCTGGAAGCACTGAAAAACACAAACATCCAAAACTCTGCCCAAAAAATCGTAACATTGCTCACTAGTGACTAGCTTCGTGAGGAAAAGTTCTAGTGAGACGTGACCAATGGAGTTCAGTCCTGTCGGGTTAGGCGGTAACTATCAAAGACAAATGGGCGAGGTCGCGCAACTGAGTTTTTTAATATTTTTTGTAATTCTTAGCTTTTTCGAGTCTGAACTGATTCACTCCGCATTTCATTGCAATTAATTTATTACAGAGACTTAGCAAATGTCAAAAATCTAAGTAATCGTTGGGTGAAATGGAAATTCACCGCTCATGACTCACTTTTCTCCATAGTTCATGATCCTTAGACTGAATTTGCAAAATATGATTTTTAAGGTTACTAGTTTTAAACACTTTATTAGTTGGAATAAAGTTGCATCTATGATGCAATAAATAACGAGAAGGTCAAAGCTCTAGGTAGCAATTTGTTTCTCTACACACTATTGAAGAAGAAATCTACATACAGTAACAGTTTGTGATAAAGTTGCGCAACCTCATACACAGTCCCCGGTAGTTACTGTCTACAGCCGAACAAGTTGAACTTCACTGGTCATGACTTCTGACTAGAACTCGGAGTTTGAGTAGTTTCATATCCTTTGGCAAACTGATAAATGGATTGTGTAGATATTCTCAATTTCGTAATAGTTTTCATCACTACTAGCAACAACTACGGAAGCAATCGGAACTAAGAGGTTGATCATAGCTCAACTCAACAACAGTGTTGACCTGTGACTCCACATGGGACTGGAGCAGAAAACAATAAACCTCTAGGGGTAAAGAATAATAAATTTAGATTACTGAGTCAAAATTTAGCAATTTATATTCTGAACTTCTATAAATCACTATATTCCACGACTGTTGTCAATCAGTATCAATGATTATTATATGGCTCGTAAAATGACTGTTAATTGGCGTCTTGGAGTTTTACTAATATTTCCGATAGTTCAATAGCTATCGGAAAGTTTTCTAAGCTTTTGTACACTTCCAAGGATTCTGAAACCAGAATGAAATATCTAACTTGCAGTTAGTAGTTGTCAACAGTTCATTTGCTAAGTTGTAAAAACTCTGAATAAATCGGGACAGCAAAACTAAAATGTGTAAAGTGTCATTTTCTAATTGATTTAAATGTTCATAGATTGATTAAAACAGTTCTTTCTTCCTTATTATTTGTCAAATTAACGACTATTATTTAATTAATTGAAGAATAAATGAACTTACCTCAATCACAGGTGAATCATTATTCAATGAAATTCCTGTGCACAGTTGATGTTTCTCATTCGGATCAGAAAAAAATAAAGGACCTTGTGGAAATTTCTCTTTTGTACTATTCAAATTATGTATGGTTTGTCCATTAAGATCAATTATATCAGTACAACTATTAGAATCATGATGACGTGTATCACATATTGAACAGTCTTTATCAATATGATTCATTGAATCCACTGTGAGGTTATTATGATTATGATTATTAGGAAATCTTAGTAGACCGTTTGTTAACAATGTTTTATAAGTGGTTGATGTAAAAGATTCATGTGAATCGGTTAATATATTTTTTGGTAAATGATTATTGGTTATTGAAATTTGATCATTTCCTGTAGATTCATTAAATTGTGAATTCTTTAAATTTTCACTAGGATAACTGATTAAAGGCGATAAATTTTGTTTCTTGATTATTAAATTTACGCTGTTATCCACTTGTTCAATTGAAAAACTCTTGTCTTTATTGAATGAATCATGTAAATGTTGTTGAAAATTATTTTCATTTAAATGATCAATGTTTTCCGTTCGTAAAGTTTCAATTGATTGATTTTGTTTTATCTCTTCTGGAGAATTAGGTATAATAATAATATTAGAATTTAATTGAGTTAAATTTTCAGATGACAAAATTCCAGTATCATATTTGCTAGTATTATCATTTGTACAATCAAATAATTGTGGCATTTCATTAAATGCTTCTTCATTTGTAATTTCTGATTTCTTACAATCGTCGTGACTTTTGCTAATTGATGATATCTTGGTAGATGAATGATTATTTTCATTGAAATTCATATTATTGATACCTTTTAAATTAGCTAACATTTCTTGTTTTATTGTTTCAATACTTGTTCTTAATGATTGGCCAACCAGTTCAGATATATGTGGTTCAAGTTTCAATATTGTTTGTTCAATAATTCTTTCTTCTGTGTTATTATTAGTATGATTGTCATCATCATCACTACCCTTGTTTCTGCTGACTTCATTATCTAAACTGACCTGTACTTTATTTGATTTAATGATTAAACTACGACGAAACGCTTCTATAGCATATTGACTTAATTCACTAATTAATTTATTACATTCTGAATTCATATCAATCAAGGGAGATGAACTTTGATTAACTAATTTAGCAGTTTGGTTATTAGTCACGTGGTCATCAGTGGCACATTTTACTTGAATGTCTACGTTACCTTCTATTTCATCATTATTACTTTCTACATGTTCTATTCCTTTTGTTTCGTTCAATTTTTCTCCTTCCACTACTAGTTCCATATCGTTATTCATAGGAAATTTAGATAATTTTCTTATTTTTGGTTGATAGCTTTCGCTTTCGGATAACTCACAATCTGTAAATGTGGCGGTCAGTTCATTTTCGTTTGGTGTGTTTTGAACTTCCATTAAACTATCGTTATTATTATTATTATTGTTAGTTATCATTGGAGTGAAGTGAAAATTCTGTTGTGGTAACATTTGTTTACGTCGTTTACGACGAATTTCATATTCCTCTTTATCAGTGGTATCTGTACCATCTTCTTGAATTTGTTGAATGTATTGAGATGTTGATGTACAAGAGATGATGGTATTATCTATTGAATTAGAAAAATGATCATTTTCTTGTGTATGATGATAATGATCAGTTAAATCAATACATTTGTTCTTTGTATTATGATTATTGGTGTGCTGACGATAATAATTCAAATTCTCCTTATCATTCACAATTGTACTAAATGAATTAGATAATAATGTTATTTGAGAGAAATCTTCTTTCATTTTGTCATTAGAACATTTGATTGTTGATTTTGGTGAATTTTTCGACTCATCTATCGTTAGATCTAATGATTGAACTATTGTTGATTGATGAGGCGATAAACTATGGTGCTTTTCATAGGATTTCGAATCAGAACAAGGCGTGTTTAAATATTTTGTTATTTGATGATCCGATGGCGTTTGATCATTCTGATTTAAATCTGTTGTTAAATAGTGAAGAATAAAAAAAAAAAAAAAATCATTAGAGTATTTTGATAACGATTGGATTTATTGAAACATGTTGAGAAATGTTTTTAAAAAATAACTAACTTACTTGAAAAAAATATAGAATTTTCAATAAATATGAAAAGGACCTGAATCAATGAAGACATCCTATATATTATCTGACAGTATTGATGACAGGTTAATTATTTTATGACAAGAAATTTTCCCGAGAAGAGTAGACATTAACTAACAAATGTTAGTTTAAAATAATATTACTTACTAGTTTGCAAAGTACTTATTTACATTAAATTATCATTCAACTTCTCATAAAAATCATCTTAGAGCAAACTGCATTTGGGTGAACAATTATTTTTTTTCATTTACTTAAAATTTAGTCAATTAAAGTTCAGAGTAACAATAATCTTTTATGTAGTAAGACACTGTGCATGTTTCGAAGAGAGTGTAGTTAGTAGGTTGACATCGATCAGAGAGCATCAATACAAACTAGATGGGGAGTAGTTCCTGATTAGTTTGTAGATTTTACTACAAATATTTACCCAAGACCCACCCAATACATGATCGAGTATAAGATTTATAGATCATAAAATAAACATAAGAGTAGTAAATTGACACATCACTGTACGAGGTGCATAGAATCCACCTTCTGAAAATCTAACAATTTATTTTTAATATCAAAGAGGAATTAACTAAAAAAATATTTTGTTTATTACTAGCAAAATGTTCAATGATTTATTTTTTATCAAATCGTGGTAATTTATTCATCTATAAATAACTGTAGAGAAAGAACTTCTAATCGTTTTGTACTTACTGACCAATATCATTTTACCAAACGTTAGTTTTATGAAATTCTAATTAGTGCCTATAGATTCCTAAATTATTACATTATATCACAAAATTGATAAAAAAAATGTTGCTCACTCGTACCTTATTCAGAATTAGTTATTTGAGAATAATAAGTTCTGAAAACCATGATTCATCTGTGACTACATAAATCATAAGTATGTATTATTTTGACTCGTCAAAAACTTGACTAGAAGACCCAAATGTTTTATTCAACTATTAAAAACCATTGGATTGTTCAACCCATGAGCTTCATTAACTTGTGAACATTAATTTTCAAACTGAGTCATTTAATTAAACATGTCTTCTTCTGCATGGTTATTTCATGTAGGTGTTTTTTTAATATTATCGCTAACTTCATTTTTAATATTTTACAGTCGGTGTCAGTAATGAAGTTTTTGCGGTAAATTTGTCGTTCAACATCAAATCAACACTATTACCATATTCATGATTAATTGACTAAAAGTAACTGCCAATAAAACTCCATCATCAATGCTATCCGAATTGAGATGTGGTTGTAGTTTAATTTCACAGAACATAGAATTTCAAATATAGTGTAAACTAGTTACTTTGAGAAACGTTAATGTATTTCTATACATGTTCGATAATTCCGCCTGTAGTCCCTTCGGGGCTACTGCCGTTCCCAAGCCCGGATAAAGGAGGAGGGGTTGGCGCTCCCATCCCAACTAAAACTAACTTGCCAAAAAAAACGCTAACCACAAAAAATAATTCAAGTCATTTTCACTCTGCCCCGGGGAGTTGGAAGAAGAATTATGACGTCGCGTGAATGAAGAATGAACAAAAATTAGACAGAATTGGAAAGGGAAGCCCTGGGACAGAGTTGGTTGGAGAAAACTGGTGGGCGGCCTATGCTCCATTGGGGGCAACAGGCGAAAATAAATAAATAAAATAATAAAATATAGATGTTAGAGATCAAATCTAATCTAATCCAAAAATCGCATCGAAGTGACATCACGAATAATTCAACAATTTTGTTCATAATTTCTTTTTTTTTCTAGACAAAATTATCTTTTGTAATGTATTTTGATCAACAATAAACCGATAGACTTTAATTGAATTAAGATTATGCAACAACAACAGCAACATTTGAATGTTGTCGATTTAATTTCATGACTACTTAACAATATTTTCCTTATATGTATATATAATAAAGGATAAAACTGAACGCATACGTTTAATTCTTCTGCTCGAAATGTGTATAATAGTCTTCTATATTTCAAATATGTAATCAACTTTTAACAGGCTGAAATAAAAAGCAACCGATACAGTGATGATGATATAAAAATTTAATTAGATTATTCTTAACTATTAAAAAAAAAAATTGAAAAATTATTTCCCATACAGTTAGTGGGATAGTTCTAATTTTTTCTTCCTAGACATTGTTGTATCATGGGTTTTTGGAAATGAGAATTATGTATGATTGCATGAAATAAGTGAACTTTCATAATAATAATAATAATAAAGAGAAAATAGTTAGGAGGAGAGCAATAATTCCCATTTTATATTTTATCATCGGTAAGGGAAGTAGGAGAAAACAATTCAAGCTTTTATGGATATATATATGTACATATATATATGCACATAATGTACATGACAAAAACCCCTTTTAAAAAAAAAGATAGAGGAATGTTACTCCTTTAATTTTCGTCACATAAATATCATCATAGCTGATGAATTGAGTAAAGTTTGATAAACAAAAAAAAAAAATTTATCAAAATATTGTTAGTTATTTATGTACAATTTAAGTTAATGTGTGTGTTATTTATAAAATAAATAAGAATAGAAATGAATGTGTGGTGTATTCTTGTACTTCGATCATTACTATCAGTTTATGCTATATATATATATATATATATATATATATATATATATATATATATATATATATATATATATCATATATATCATATTTCAAGAATGGAATCTCAAGGGAGAGAGTAGAGAATATTTTAGTGATGAATATTTTCACAGTATAACAATAGGATGAGAATACTAACAAGAAACAGAATTTCAACACTAAATTCTGTCCATTTTATTTGTACTTTTTATTTATATCTTATAAAATTAACGTTATCTGAATGCAGATGAAGAGGTGTTATGCTTGTTGTTGATTGATGATCAGTAAGAGAAAAGGCGAGAAACGTTGCATGTATATATATATATATATATATATATATATAATATGCTCACGTTATTTACTCCCTTAAGACCAAAAGAAAATGTGAACTATTTTTAAAATTATCTTTTTTTCAAGTTTAATTGGTTCGGTTAAATGTAAAGGAATAAAAGATGATTTTGGATGAATATATATATATATATATAATATAATATAATATATAACAATTTATTTGTTCCGTTTAGAAAAACACGAATAACTAACTGTATTAACGAAAAGACAGTCTAAAACGCTATATATAAAGTGGATACATTGAACAAATGCTAGCTTTAAAATGGATACAGATTCTTCTAATATATATATATCAACAAGTGTTATTTCGATACTGTATTTCTCATAGAATAAACCAAATTATATTTTTTTCAAAGAACCAAAAATCCCTTGAGCACTGTCAACATTCACTATGCATATAAAAAAATTACTATTGTTAATGAATTATGCGAAGACATTGGAATCATGAATTTATCATTGTTAGACCACCATTAGAAACCTAGAAGCACTGGATGGCAGTTTTGTTCTAGTATGGGACTGATTACAAGGGCGTATCCAAGACTTCCCGGTAAGTGGGAATCGAACCCAAGACATTCGGTCTCCGATGCGAACGAACGCCTTACGCCTAAGACCATCTAGTAGTATAACTAGGACGAAACGGCCATCCAGTGCTTCCAGGTTACTAGCGGTGGTTGAACAATAATTGATTCATAGTTTTAATGAAAATCACGACTCCATAATGGAAATATTAACTACTAATTAAAGTACCGGAAAACTTTATTCTGCAAAATTTCTTTTTCAATATATTAACAATTTTTTTTGTATAAAAGTTAACTATGTGTATCCGAAATCATGAATGAAATTTTTATTCACTGCGCGTACCTTTAAAAATAAATAACAAAGTACAAATAGATCATACTAATTTCATACTTTAAACAAATGATATAAATAAAACTGTACTTTTGTATCCATTGTACATTGAACAACTATTTGAAACTAATCATGTTAGTGGAATTAATCGTGTCAAAATACTAACAGAAGACTATTTTATTCGTAATATGTATGTATGTATGTATGTGTGTACATTTTTTTTAATATGATGGAATTTTTTTTAAATAATCATTTAGTAAAATTCACAAAATGACTAACAAAGTTAATAATAATAATAATAATAATAATAATAAAGTTCGTAACATTCCTGAAATGAAAAAAAAAAAGAAAACTAGTGACTTCTATCAATATATCTGTTCTATTTTTGAAAGATAAATTTTTAGAGACAAATGTTTACAAAGAAAATAACACATAACAACAACTGGACACATTTAACTGTTAGTGAATTTTCTCAACAACCAAAAAAATGACGGAATTTATTTTTGTGTATGGAAATTTTTTGATTGACTTGATATGTATGATATTATTGATATTATATGATGTGTTAGAGAATAATAGTTGAATGCACTGTTTGAATGAAAGAAACAAATGAAAGAGGAGATATGCATTTGTATCATCCAGTGACATTTGAATCAGATTGACGCCAGTCAATATTATTAGCATCATCACCTATCACCGTCAAAGTTGTTTGTCATTTATCATTGATCCTGCACATCTTCTTATTGATGTATGTTTGTTTGTTCTTTATTTTTGTCGAGATTCAAGTGATCTTTAAAAGTTGTCTGTTAAATGTATCATTAGTAGTTTTTTTTTCGTGTTTGTCTCGTGTTTTTCTGTTTTTTTGATTTCGCCTTTTTTTTCCTGCTTAAGTGACTGATTAGTTAGTTCACCGATCTTTCCATCTATCTATCTATCTATCTATCTGTCTACCTATCATTTGTAATTACATAATAAAACATTGTTGACAGAATTACATTGTCTGAGTGTGATTGAAGTTTGTTTTTTTTTTACAAATGAAATAAATTAACAACAAAATCAAAAGGAAAGTGTAGCATAAAGTTAGATGGCATGATATATATGTTTGTACGAGTATTGACACTAGTGTTTATCAAGGAATAACAATGTAAGAAGAATTCAGAATGATTTGTATAATTGCTCCGGTTAATTAAGTTTTATACGAATAATGTGGTTTGGTTTAAAACAGGTGAAAAATTTATAATTCGAGAA